ATAAACAACTATCTGACTTTTAGAAGACATCTGAAGGCAACCCTGTTTAGGGAAGTTTTTAATGTTTGATGTTTTATCGTGAGTTTAATATTCTGTTGGGAGCCACCCAGAGTGTCTGGGGAAACCCAGCCAGATGGGTGTGGTATAAATAAATTATTAATTAATATTATAACAACAATAATTACTACAACAGCCCACAGACTAAACAGGCACATAGGTGATCTCATTCTTCCATACTTTGTGAAGATCTGTTTTTTTTTCTATATAAATTATTTCTAAATTTGCCTCTCCATATATGATAATCCTAATATTATGCAATTTTTGTTTGTCATGCATTTCCTAGACTTTGATTATATGTGAGTGGCACTCTGGATCTTGACAATTTTCCAGCCACTATGTTTCTTGGTTCATTGTACATGCTTATACATGCACAATGTAGGGCGGGGGAGTTGCCACAGGTATGAGAACCGAGCGAGTGGCTCTGTGGTCTAAACCACTGAGCCTCTTGGGCTTGCCGATCGGAAGGCTGGTGGTTTGAATCCCCATGACGGAGTAAGCTCTGGTTTCTCTGTCCCAGCTCCTGCCAACTTAGCAGTTCAAAAGCACACCAGTGGGAGTAGATAAATAGGTACCGCTGTGACGGGGAGGTAAACAGTGTTTCTGTGTGCTCTGGTTTCTGTCATGGTGTTCATGTTGGCCACATGACCCAGAAAGCTGTCTGTGGACAAACGCCGGTTCCCTCGGCCTGAAGGAGAGATGAACACTGCAACCCCATAATTGCCTTTGCCTGGACTTAACCGTCCAGGCATCCTTTACCTTTTTTTTACCTTTCTACACATTTCTTAGTATAAGAAAAAATGGCAACTAAAGCTAGGACACCAATAATGCGTGGAAACAACAGAGAAAGGTGTGTAGGCAAGATGCAGACAGGGTAGAAAGAGGTGGCTCAGCTGAGTAGCTGGGGAAATTACTGTAGATGTTCTCATGTGCAACTTTTAGATGAGCCGCGATTCTGTTGGGGGGTGGGCAAGAGGCAATCTTGGATGGTACACCAAGATCTGAAATATTTTTCAACCTTCCTCTCCTGCTTTCTTTCTTTCTTTCTTTCTTTCTTTCTTTCTTTCTTTCTTTCTTTACCTGTACAATACTGGGGTATGATATTGAAGAAGGCATACAAAAGAGATGTTCTAATCATTGGCACTTAAACCTTGTCCATATTCCTCTCTGGTTTTACAAGTCACCTGCTCACTGATCCTTCCATCATATTTATTTGAACCTAATGAAAATCTTGAAGGCTCTGATTGAAATAAAAATATAGCTTTCTTACTATGTGGATGGGTTGCCCCCTGGTTCAAATCAATATGTTCTGTGCTGCAAGGCAAAACACAGAATACTTGCATGAGCCTTTCCGAACCACAGGGAAAACATTAGTATACCACAATAAATCTTCATCAGCAATAGAGGAGCCAGGATTCCCTAGAAACTGGATCAGCCAGTTAATGGGAGCACAAAAAGAAAGCTAAATATCAGAAGAAAGTGCACCATTGACAAAATACTCAGCAAGTTGGGAAATAAAGTGATGGCTTTTTTTCAATCTGGGAGACCTGAAGGCATAACCATTTTGAATATTCCTAGTTCATCTTCTGAGTTATGACAGATCAGTAGGAGACTTGCAGTCGCTTGAAGAGCCGGAACAACTTTTCTTGTCACAAAGTGGATTGTTGAATTTCTACTGGCAGCTCTACTTTGCAGAGTTGACTGACATGCTTATCATATATATGGTGTGTGTGTGTGTGTGTGTGTGTGTGTGTGTGTGTACACACACACAAATGCACCCCCCCTTTCGGCAGATATGTTACTACAATTTTATGATACCATGGAAGAATACTGCTATTAAACCCAATCATAATACAGTGGTACCTCAGGTTACATACGCTTCAGGTTACAGACTCCGCTAACCCAGAAATAGTGCTTCAGGTTAAGAACTTTGCTTCAGGATGAGAACAGAAATCGTGCTCCGGCGGCGCAGCGGCAGCAGGAGGCCCCATTAGCTAAAGTGGTGCTTCAGGTTAAGAATAGTTTCAGGTTAAGTACGGACCTCCAGAACGAATTAAGTACTTAACCCGAGGTACCACTGTATGTTTAAAGTTTCATGTTCATCAGTTCAGGTTTTCAAGAAGCTGTAAGGCAAAGTTTTCTTGTATATGCTGTTGCAGGTGTTATTGTTCATTTTGTTGAAGACTATTGACTTAGGCTAAATGAATAAATGAATTTATTTATTTATTATTTCGGTCCCAGACCAATTCCAGCTCACATACAATATCAGAGAATAATAAATAATAATAATAAATTTTATTTATATCCCGCCCTCCCCAGCCAAAGCCGGGCTCAGGGCAGCTAACAACAATAAAACAGTACAAAAGTACAAAGAAATCATAAAACACAATGGGGATAAATTTGAATATACAATTAGGTACAACAGGGATAATACAAATATGGCAACAGTTAAAAATATAAAGGTTAAAACCTTAGTCACTAAAATATAACCTAAAATTGTCAGGAGGAGGTTAAGGGGTGATATGATAGCCATGTTCAAATATATAAAAGGATGTCACATAGAGGAGGGAGAAAGGTTGTTTTCTGCTGCTCCAGAGAAGCGGACATGGAGCAATGGATCCAAACTACAAGAAAGAAGATTCCACCTAAACATTAGGAAGAACTTCCTGACAGTAAGAGCTGTTCGACAGTGGAATTTGCTGCCAAGGAGTGTGGTGGAGTCTCCTTCTTTGGAGGTCTTTAAGCAGAGGCTTGACAACCATATGTCAGGAGTGCTCTGATGGTGTTTCCTGCTTGGCAGGGGGTTGGACTCGATGGCCCTTGTGGTCTCTTCGAACTCTATGATTCTATGATTCTATGATCTAAGGCCTTAATCATTAATGTTAGCACAGCTTGTTCCCTAAGTTTTATGGCAATCGCACAGAATTTGGCCACTGAGGAGCTCCAGGGGATTTATTAATATTAATAATAAAGGAGATGAGCTGAGAATTTTATTTAAAATAATAATAATATTTGTAATATCTTGAGCTCTCCAGTGCCTCACAGGCAGTCTCCTGGTTGACTACCCTTTTCAGAAAGCCCCCTGGAGCTTATCCTGACGTAGTGCTTTGCCAAAAGGGGAAAAAAGAAAAGCATTCCAAGAAATGGGTAGAATGAGAAGCTGGCTGAGAAGCCAGGAGAAGTTACTGTTCCAAAATTGTTAAAAGCAAGAATATGTATCACAACACCCACTTCTTGTTAATGATTTTTAGGTGAGAGTAGCAGGAGATCCATGCCCATGCACACACACATCATCGCCGCACCGGCAGCATATCTCTTCTTTCTCGTATGTAGAAATGCAAGGAGGGCCTTTACACTCACCAGAAGCTTGGCTCTTCCCTCGCCAGTCCTGGATGGAGCCTTTAGAAAAGTCCCCTTTGCTCAGAGACTTTGCACCTGTCCATTGGGAGAGATAGGAAGCCCAGAACACTTGTTCTTTAGATGTCCCTTTTATGAAGAGGCACGTAGTAAGATCATTGATCCCCTACTGGTGAGGCTCACCGACCTCCCGCAAAAGCAAAAATTTGACCTTTTGCTGTTAGGCAAAGATCAGAAGATGACCTGGATGGTCGCCAGATTCTGTGTACAAATCTATGTACAAATCTATAGGCGCAGACCATCGCCCAACTCAAAAAATCCCCAAACTCGGTTCCATGGGTGACTCTGTGTCAACTCCCTGGGATAGTTTATTGTTGTACATTGTTTTGTCTGTTTTAACCATATTTGCACATCAGTTTCTAATGTTGTGAGTGTCCTCTATTTCAGAGGCTTCTACTCTGCAGCCTCTTATAGTTGTTTTAACTGAGTCTTTTAGTTCTTATGCTCTTACAGTTGTTTTAACTGTGTGTTTTTATTTGTTTTTAGTTTTTATCTGTTTTAATTATCAGTTTTTACGCACCCATTATCCGTGTTTAATTTTGTATTTTATTCAGATGTTTTATCCTATGATTGTTTCTTTGTCCTTATTTGCTCTAACAATTATCGGTTAAAAAATAATAATCCTAACTGCTATTTTATTTATATGTTGTTGTTGTTGTTTTGTTTTGTTTTTTGTTTTATCCTGGTCTGTGGCCATAATAAAGTTCATTCATTCATACTCAGAGTTGAGTGTTGATTTCATTCTCTTTATTTCAGCTCATGGTAAACAGTGAGTGAGTGTTTCGCCCCCAAACCTCTGGCTATATATACATTATTTACACAATGGGTCCCATGTGATTGGCTGATTCAACTCCCCTCCTGGAGCCTGATTGGACTGTTCCTGCAGGCCAATCAGGTTGCTGATTCAATTCCTCCTGGAGCCTCATTGGGCTGCTTCTGCAGGCCAATCAAGTTGCTGATTTACTTCCTCCTGGAGCCTGATTGGACTGTTCCTGCAGGCCAATCAGGTTGCGGATTCACTTCCTCCTGGAGCCGGATTGGGCAGCACCTGCAAACCAATCAGGTTGCTGCCTTCTAGCATCCTACCTGCCTATTGTTCTAGGATCCAAGCTCAGTACATAACATTAACTTTACCCCTAAGGTGGACAACTGAAGAGAACTACAGTAGCACTGTGGTCTTTTAAACCAGTTTTGGAATAGCCCCATGCAATGAGCCTCTTCATGTTCAGTGAAAAACGAGGGCTGTCTTTAAGTTCTGTTGGGAACAGCTGTGAATTATTTTCAGCAAAACCACAAACACAGATAACATTCTAAAGAAAAGCCACAGTTGAATCAGGATGGCATTAATATCTCTTTACCTAATGGAGGTTAGTCAACAAGCAATTATGGTATTCGTGATAAATGTGGCTCGTGAAGACAAATGAAATCAGTGGTTTGAATTGGACTGAAAGGTCTGAATTACAAGCTGAGGCATGCATCCAGCAAAGACTTCCCTGTCTTTTCCATAACAAGGAATATACGTTTTTTCATAAGGTGGGTTGTTCCAATCTCCTTCGACTTTTGATAAAAATGTTGGTGATTTCAGAAAGCTTCATAATCTGCATCTGCCCAGTGAGGTGTAGCTGGGGAATAAAGTCATGCATTAGGATTTGCTACAGCCTATAAATGACAGTCTGTGATGTGAACTGAAGTGGCAAGGAAATAGGCATTCTAACCAACTGACATCATGTCACTTTTACCAGAAAAGTACAGCAACCCAACTTCTTACTTTTATTGATCATCCTAATGCATGTTTTATATTTTATGTGAACCACTTAGTTTTTAAAAATAAATAAATAAATAAATGGTACACTAATTACGTGGTGTTTTTTTTTAAAAAAAGAAACCTAGCTCAGCAGTGCCTAGTTCAGAGTGGCTGAGGAAACTCAGCCAGATGGGCGGGGTATAAATAATAAATTATTATTATTATTATTATTATTATTATTATTATTATTATTATTATTATTTCTACTCCTCCCTGCACTTACATAGAAGGGAGTTCAGAAATGGAAGTGAATTGTGTGCATTATTAGGTGGAATGTGCACCACCTAAAAAATTCAGTTCAGAACCTGCTTCACCACTTGAGAAAAGAGCAAGATTAAGTCCAAAGCATTTCAAAGACTGACTGACTGCATCAAAATCACAATTGGGGGGGGGGGGGGGAGACACTGTTGCTTCCCCATTCATTATTATGGAAAAATGAACACACTGTCTCTTTTTGGAAGCTAGACATTGTCATTCACAAAACAGCTCTTTCTTCCCCTTCTTCCAGTTTCTTCCCAGCCTGGTGTTTATAAGTATATAACAAGCTTGCAGAGAAATGTTTAATTTTTTTTGTAGAAACAATATCTGCACAAAAAGGAAAAAAATCCAAATCTTTGAGAAACCCCAAAGCAAGTCATAGGTTGGGACACTTCAGAGAGATCCCACAATGGATAAGACAAGCCCCAGGATTTGGGATTCAACTAACTCTTTTGCACACACCAGTTCATTAGCTTTGCTCTTTGATAGAATTCCCCTCCTGCCAATACAAACAATTCTGTTTTGAATCTTTATTGGAAGCAAATCCTTGCATGATGATCTTGTGCTTTCCTAGTCTGCAGACATCTCTTGGGAGAAAGAAACCATAGTTAGGTCATGTTTAATATAGTGTTTAGAGAAACTGATAAAGAAAGAAAGAAAGAAAGAAAGAAAGAAAGAAAGAAAGAAGAAGTGAATATTTAATGTTTCATCATGAATCTTCACCAGTAGATCTATCATTTCCCTTTAAAAGCAAACTCAAGTTTCTGACTGCCTTCAGTTGGTTCTGAAGTAAAACAGGGGCATCCAAAAGTAAGGTAGCAGCACTTGTGTGAGTTCTCTTTTTCTCTCTAAAGAAGGGTGTCCTTGCCCCTTCCTTAATGCAATGCCATCTAGGTGAACTGGTAAAGGAGAATGCCTGTTCTACCACTGTTTTGTGTTAGTAGCTAGGTAACAGATTTTCAAAGTGGGTTCTCTGAGAACTGCACCTGGATAACACTTAAGGTTGTGTGTGAATAGCCTCACAAAATTACTTTGTGTTTTTGTTGGGGGCAGGAAGAGAGGTTGTTGATGCATTGACAGCCCAGCTTCTATAATCCTTCACAAGGTTCCAGACCTGTCACCATTATTGAGCATAACAGGGGGAAATGGTGACTTTCACAATAACTGAAATTAAAATTTAAAAACTGGAGAATGTTTTGCAGGGAGGGAATGTGCGTAGTGACCTTCTTTCATGGGAAAGGATAATGGAAATAAGATAAAGTCCCGACCAGAGAAGAATGGCAAATCAAGTCGGTGGATTGTGCTGAAATGGCTAAAATGACCGGAAGAATCAGAAATCAGGAAGATAATTTTTTTTAATAATGGGGGAAATTTATAATTTATCTTAAAAACCATTTTAAACAGCTAAAATCATTAGTAGGATTGGAATAACACTTGTAGTTTAATGGTGAATTTTGGACACAATGGAGCTGTAAAAGTTTTGGATTATCATAAAAGGTGCAGGAGAAAACGATTAACAATAGGACCCACAAAGGGGAGCAAGGAAGTCAAAGGGATTCTCCGGAGTCTTGTTTTTATGTTGTATGTTGGATATGTAATTGTAAAATTTTAATCTGAAAACAAATAAATTTATGTAAATATAAAAGGATGAGGGTAGAGAGAAAAATCTCAGAAAAGGTTTCAGAAAAATGTCTTCTGAGAAATGCTAGCTCAGTTTTTGGGAATTGTACAGTGTGGTCCTATGCATGCTTACTTGACGGCAAACTCCAATGTGTTCACTGGGGCTTTCTCCCTAGTATACCTGTGTTTAGGCCACATTTTTAGGTGCACACTTAAAAAGTAAACCTATCGGAATACACATAAAAAGAATGCACCAAGAGATCTTTGCTATTTGGACCCAGGTGTCCTGTGAAAGTGAAGCATATTATGCACTGTGCCATATTTACCTCAGGAAACATCTGTGAAGTTTTAAAACCAAAATGGATTCCTTGCAAGGTAATAACTGCAACCGAGAAGAGCATTAACTTGACTTCTGTGAATGACAGGGCTTGATGCAAAAGTTACATCACACTGTCGGTGTTTTGCACAGATTACCTCAGGGAAATGGGGAAAATATGCAAATAACATAATGCCTCATCCTATGTACCTGCTGGTTGAGTTTTGATTTACTGAGCTGTCTCTGGGAGATTTTCTTGTTAAAAAAAAAAAAATCTCACTTTGAGGGAGGGGGGATAGACATGCTGTTTTCCTATCAGTAAAAATGGAGGGGGGGGGAGTATTTTGCTTCTTCAAACTGTTCAGTCTCCTACCTCAAGTGAGAGAGAAAAGCCATGTTAGCAGTTTAACATTACAAGTGACATTTTTACAGAGTTAGTAGGTGTCAAACACAAGCCATGTCACTTGCCGCCAACAGAGAGGTCTGTTGTGAAAAAAAAAAGTCAGATTAAAATAATAACACTCATTATATTTCTCAGAGAAATGCTCTCAGCGTGTCAAAGTGGAATCAGAAAGTCAGGGAAGACCTCAGCACAGCAGTGTGCTGTCTGCATGGTAATGCAATTGGAGACCATAACATGTTGTAATGAGTGCTAATGAAATCGTGTATGGAGAGCCTGAGAGTGAGGCACGAAGGAAGAATGATAAAAGGGATTCTAAGAGGAGCTCATATCACATGCAGAGAATGATCAATCAGATAAGGGCTGCTCAAGTTAAGCAAGACAGAGAGAGGTGAGTCCCTAATGAAAGCTCAGTTTGTCTAACAAGATATGATGATTAATAATGACAAGCATGGCTGAAGTATCCACTGCTAATAAACAGGCCTCACCAGGGGCAAAGGAACACCAAGTTATGAGGCCATAGGTGGAGCAGCCAAAACACTCTCCGCAGCCCAAGACGGATGGCTAGGAAGGTATGCATTGGCCACAGGAAACATATGACATGTCACTGGTGACCTTAGCTACAAAATTTTGGAACTTGGGAAGCAAGCCTACAACTAAAAGCAGAGAAAAGAGAGAGATGTAGTTTGTTTTACAGGACACCCTATTATTGTTTAGCTAATGGGATGTGCTTTGTTATCTTGATGAATGTAAGCTTTGCTTGGGAAGCCCAGAAGCCAGACCTGAACACAGTACAACAGTATCTCCTTTGGAGCTTACCATCCTCACTGTTGGTCAATTGTAGCTGTACATGGCAGAATAAGCATGAGGTATCTTGTGCACACCAATGGCTGGTTTTGTCACATTTGAGTTGAGTTACATGACATGCCCCTTTCCCCTTTCATTCGTTCATCTGAAGCCTGGGGAGGAGCTAGGGCCAGGCCACGACCCCAGCGGGAACCCAGGGGGTGCTCGAATCGATCCACATTGGTGGGGCTTCCCCTACCAGTGGTTTACCTTTACCAGACTCCCTGCAAAGCGGGCAGGAGTCAGATATAGTCTGTGGATACCAATGCCTAAGCCAATACCACTCACATTCTGTAACCAATAAAGTTGTGGCCTAAATTTTGCCCATTAACATTAACCTAAAATTCTGTGTCCTTGTGTCTTTATTCTCATGGGGGTGCTTGGGGCTTTGACACACAACTAGTAAACCTAATGCCTTGTATTCATTTGTTTGTTTGTCCATTTAGGAGTATTTATACCCAACCTACTAATTGAAGATCTTGAGCTTCTTACTATATATATATATCTACACACACAGTAATAACCATAAATAAATAAGAATAAAAATGTGCACCCCACCACTGAGGCCATTCCATTGTAGCTATCCAACCTCCCAAAATTTCAAAACCTCTCGTGATGGTTTGACCCCTTTCCGTTTTAACAGTACAAATTCTACAAACACCCTCCATATCGCCTCAAAATCATTTCTCCTGCATATTCCCTGTCTTACCTTAATGACACATGTTAATTTATCATTAATAGGTATATCCCACAGATCTTTATACCATTCTTCCATTTTAGATTCTGTTTGCCCCTTCCACTTCCTAGCTTCCTAGCTATAATAATTTGTGGAGCTGTCAATAAATTTGTGAGCAAGTTCTTCATAGCCTGTGAACCTTCCACCCCATTGTAAATTGATAATAATGCTTCCGTCACACCGTGATGGAAACCAGAGCTCACGAAAATGCTGTTTACCTTCCCACCACAAAGGTGAAGGGGAGTGACGAGAGGAAGGGGCTTCACTAATCTCAGATGAATTAAATTTTAATTTTAGAAGCTGAATAAAAGTTGTGCCCAAGACTGGCATCTGCCTCTCTCTTGTACTCTGCAATTTGGAAGCTATTTGTATACTCAACATTAGCATTGAACATAGTAAGATGCTTCAATAGAATCTAATACTGAACAGTATTCAACAGCTGGCAGGCATTTGTAGTCAATATATTAAAGTACAAATTAGCAAGTCTGTATAGATTATATTCATCATTCAAATATAAGCATTCAAAACATGTTTTGAATGTTGGCGGCTAATTTTGATTCTGGAATCTGAAACTTTGTTAGCAGTTGCAGTTTTCAAAATGATGCAAAATGTTATTTTGCAACTGTCATTCAGCTAGAGTCTAAAAAAGTAAAGGTAAAGGACTCCTGACAGTTAAGTCCAGTCGCAGACGACTTTGGGGTTGTGGCGCTCATCTCGCTTTACAGGCTGAGGGAGCCGGCATTTGTCCGCAGATGGTTTTTCCAGGTCATGTGGCCAGCATGACTAAGCTACTTCTGGTGCAATGGAACACCGAAACCAGAGCAGCGCATGGAAATGCCATTTACCTTCCTGCCGGAGAGGTACCTATTTATCTACTTGCAGTTTTGGGCGTGCTTTCAAACTGCTAGGTTGGCAGGAGCTGGGACCAAGCAACGGGAGCTCACCCCGTCGTGGGGATTCGAACTGCTGACCTTCTGTTCGGCAAGCCCAAGATGCTCAGTGGTTTAGACCGCAGCGCCACCCGCGTCCCCCAGCTAGAGTTGAAGGGTGCCTAAATTTCCCATTTGAGTTCAAAGTTGTTAACTCCAATTGCTTAAGTTATACTTAATCTGACTGCTTCAGGTAAACCTCGTTCTGTGCCAATAAGCACAGGGCACCTTTCCCCGGAAGCACTGGGACCCATAAAGGTAAAGGGACCCCTGACCGTTAGGTCCAGTTGTGGACAACTCTGGGGTTGCGGCACTCATCTCACTTTATTGACCGAGGGAGACAGTGTACAGCTTCTGGGTCATGTGGCCAGCATGACTAAGCCACTTCTGGCAAACCAGAGCAGTGCATGGAAATGCCATTTACCTTCCCGCCGGAGTGGTACCTATTTATCTACTTGCACTTTGACGTGCTTTTGAACTGCTAGGTTGGCAGGAGCAGAGACCGAGCAATGGGAGCTCGCCCCGTCACGGGGATTCACACCGCTGACCTTCTGATTGGCAAGCCCTAGGCTCTGACCACAGCGCCACCAGCGTCCCCCCCCCCAGGGGCCCATAGATTGCAGCAAAATCTTATCTGTGCAATGGGTTCATGGGGAGAAGCTGCTCCATGAGCCCTTGCAAAAGTGAGGGGAAAGCTTAAAGAAGGCTGCTTCCCCTGGAACTCAGAGTCAGTTCGCCTCAAGAGCTCCCCACTCACCCTTCCTTTGTTAGGTGAAAGGAGGAATGGCATTGGGCAGGACCAACATACTATAGCCCCACCATACGGAGCCTGAAGGGAGGACTGACACAGCACCCCCCAAGCTTGGGTTGGGGTATGTGCCTGGTTTGAATCTGCTCCGTGGTCACCCAAGAAGACCTTTCGTGCTTGGCTTGTACCAAAGCAAGATTCAGCACTGACCGACTCCCATTGAACAGGTTTGCGGTGGTCCAAAGCCAGCAGACCCATTCCATCAATGTGGTTTTATGGAATCATGAACTGATCCTGACTCCAATGCCATTCCAACACTTATTCTGCTTGCTGCTGTCAATAAAGATTTGGTCTGATTTCCTCCCATCACCATTGTACAGTCCGGTTATTTGCTGTTCTCGTGGGTCACATAATGCCTGGGGAAATCATTTCTAGTAACAACAGCATTCCCAATCAATGGAAGTTTTTGCCATGAGTAGAAAAGAGTTTATTAAACCTTAATGGCAATAGAGTTTCCATATACAGTGGTTCCTCGGGTTACAGACACCTTGGGTTACAGAAACTTCAGGTTAGAGACTCTGCTAACCCAGAAGTAGTACCTCGGGTTGAGAACTTTACCTCAGGATGAGAACACAAATTGTGTGGTGGCAGCAGGAGGCCCCATTAGCTAAAGTGGTACCTCAGGTTAAGAACAGTTTCTGGTTAAGAATGGACCTCTGGAATGAATTAAGTTCTTAACCAGAGGTACCACTGTAGTATAAGCTAATATCCATTTTACTGTGGTGTGATAGCTACTGATTTGGCAGTAAATTTCTAATGATGCAATCCTATATATTTCTACTTCGAATTAAACAGAGCTCAATGGGACTTACTACAGGTTATTGTATAAAGAATTTCACCTTCTGGATTGTATCCAACTAAGTTTTACTCAGAGTAGATATGCTGAAAATAACAGACATAAGCCCAGAATTGTGAATACCTGGAATATATTTGTATTTATAACTTTTTGTGTGCACTTTCAATAAGCAAAATGCGAAAACATTAGCAAAAAGAAACAGTTAAATCACCAGTGATGTGTGACAACCCACACTTACGCATGATGGCTGTACATTACATTTTCATTACACCCCAAAAGGAGAGGCATGCAACTAACTCATTGAAATAATGCAAGCAAATGAAAATAGAGAGAAGTATTCTGGTAGATGAATAAAAGATAACAGAAACTTGCAAAACAAATACAGACAAGTATAGCAGAATGTTGTTGAGTATCTTTTTCCCCTCAAGTAATTAGATTAAAATAAAATCAACTTTCATTAACTGTTTATAGGAATGGCAATAAGAAACAAACAGATTCAGAGAATTCCAACACAAGCTGTGCAGTGAAATATTTGGTAATAAGCCATTTATCAATAGGTCTCACCTAATCCATCAAGCAACCCATTTACTTGTTTAATTACTTGATGGTGAAATGGCTTCATAGCTGTCAGAATATTTCATTTTCGGGGGGTGGGGGGAGGTAAATTTTGGTGTTCAGTTTTTTTTCCCCATTTGTGGGTGGTGAAGCATGCATTGTGATGTTGGGCAAATTCCAGGTGTCATAAATTCAAAGATGGTAACTCATCAGTCCACATGCATCCAGAGTTTCTGATGGTAGGGGCTAGAAGAATCTTATAAACACACAATGAATTTTCCTCACCCCTCCAAAATAATAATAATAATCTCCCACACCCATATTCATGGGGGATTTCTCTCTCCATCTCCTCAAAAACTGAGCCTATTTAAAGTTAGGAGAGTGTGCACTTATCATGCAAGTTGCGCTTCGCTTCAGTGATGAAACTATTTATTTAAGATTCAAATGGTCTTTAAAGAAATAAAGGAAAGATGCAGATGGGCATGCAACATTTGTCTACTCGTACAGCTGCTCACCTCCATTAACATGACAGAATTCAAACTGCCCTACTTCATAAATCAATTATTCATCTTGCTCAATAACTTGCCTCAGGGTGCAGCCAATCCTGGGGCTTCAGAGATAGCCTTGCCACAGGCCAATGGTAAGAGGTCATGACCTAGAGAACCAGCTTCTCATTTGCTGCATATAATCCACACTTCTTTCCTCCAGAGAGCTTTCGTGTGGAGATCTAATATAAGCGTTCAAAAAAGGAAAATGGCAACAGCTTTTCCAAGCAGCACATTCGTTGCTCTTGGGCTGGTTGTGTAGCTCCAAGAAGTGGTCTTGTAACCCATTTGATTATTCTGCACCTAACCCAACTCCCAATGGTTCAGGCAAAACCTGTTACCATCACCTCCTCCTTTTTTTGGAAGACAATGTTCCAGGGATAAAACCTGGGTTTTATTTTATTTTATTGCATGCAAAGCATTTGCTCTAGCCATGCCTCCATCATAGAATGGGAGTTGGGTTGGCCCATGCAATTGAGAACAGCTTGCATCCAACTGTGGCGAACCTAGAGACAGGGGAGAAATTCAACCAAGTTTGCATTTAGAGGGGAATCCTATCAAATTCTCACTTTCCAAAACAATATGATAATTGAAAAGCAACCATCCTTTGAAATTTGCACTTATTTGAATTTTGAAATGCAGTTATCCAACCAACCAGTGTTTACAAAAATGCATACATTACAGGACAGTGTGTGTAAATGAATATATTGGTGAAAATAACATGCCCAAATGCATTGTATTAGGAAAAACTGCAACTATGTGCCTCTAACTTGAAACCACATATAAAAATGTGTTCATTAGGAGAAAATTGCACTAAAAGCTGAAGAATGTGCATGATAGATAGACAGACAGATAGATAGAACGGCAAATCATTGCAGAAATACAGTGGTGAATTGCACAGTTTAACTGTGGAACGTTATAGAAACAGCCTGGGATGTAAGGCATAAGGTAAAGGTAAAGACCCCTGACCATTAGGTCCAGTCATGGCCGACTCTGGGGTTGCGGTGCTCATCTCGCTTTATTAGCCAAGGGAGCCGGCGTCCAGCTTCCAGGTCATGTAGCCAGCATGACTATGCCGCTTCTGGCGAACCAGAGCAGCGCACGGAAACACTGTTTACCTTCCCGCCAGAGCGGTACCTATTTATCTACTTGCACTTTGATGTGCTTTCGAACTGCTAGATTGGCAGGAGCAGGGACCGAGCAACTGGAGCTCACCCTGTCATGGGGATTCGAATCACTGACCTTCTGTTCGGCAAGTCCTAGGCTCTGTGGTTTAACCCACAGCACCACCCGCTTCCCTATGGGATGTAAGGCATAGCTCAGCCAAATGTGAAGTTTTGCTTTAAGGAAGTTGCAACTCAACATTAACCAGCTCTCCTCTTACCCTAGTGAGGCCCAACTCTGTTTACATTATCTTACATTTGCCCTCATCTCTGTTCACAATATACTGATGTTGGGTGGTGTGTGTGTGTTTGTGTACTTAAGAGAAGACATAAACTTAAAACTGGAGTGTCAAGTCAAGGGCAACAGAAAGATGCATATAGAAGGGCAGCTTGCCCTGTTGTCTCCAGGGAGACAATTTTGGTTTCTCTCAATTGCCCAATATTCACATTTTTTTGCAAAAAGTTTTCAATTAGAAATAATTGCGCCTTGGATTAACCTATGATGTTGCCACTGCAGTGGGAAAATTCAGAGAAGATTTCAATGGGGGGGGCTGCGTTTTCATTCATATCTTGTTTCAGAAAGTGCGAATAATATGAATTCACCCTCATATGCATACCCAATCTAATTTATCCTCTATTACTGCAAGCAAATATAGGGACGTGGGTGGCGCTGTGGTCTAAACCCCTGAGCCTCTTGGGCTTGCCAATCAGAAGGTCGGCGGTTCAAATCCCTGCAACGGGATGAGCTCCCATTGCTCTGTCCCAGCTCCTGAGAACCTAGCAGTTTGAAAGCACGTCAGTGCAAGTAGATAAATACGTACCGCTCCGGTGGGAAGGTAAATGGTGTTTCCGTGTGCTGCTCTGGTTTTGGTGTTCTGTTGCACCAGAAGCGGCTTAGTCATGCTGGCCACATGACCCAGAAAAACCATCTGCAGACAAACGCTGGCTCTCTTGGCCTGTAAAGTGAGATGAGGGCCGCAAACCCAGAGTCGTTTGCAACTGGACTTAACTGTCAGGGGTCCTTTACCTTACCTTTTTTTTACTGCAAGCAAAACAATATTGTTTACAGATACGTTTACTCAGAAGTAAGTGCTGTTGGGTCCTATTTCCAAGTGAGTATAGTTAGGATTATAGCATTCTTATTCTTGTTATTGTTTCTAGGTTTGCTTCTAGGTTTTCTTGCTAAATGAAAAAAAGACCACCACCAAGTATGGAATACTCTGACTGAAGTTTGTTGGGGGTAATTAGCAATGGCACTAACCAAATACTTGCCCTAGTTAAGAAACACTTCTTGTTCCTCATTAACTAAATTACTTTCAGGTCATACATCACATCCTTGACAATAATGCCATTTCCATGCTTAATTGCTTAAATAAATGTGTAATTAATGTCTAGTAACGGGATTACAGCTGTCTGGAAACAATGTCGCAACAACTTGCAACCATTACTTTTCTATAGCTGACTGCATCCCTCCCTCTCCCCGCCCTAAGACACATACATATTACTTAATTAAAAATGGAAATGTCTAATTTAATAACATCCTGTGGGGAGTTCAGAAATGTTTCCATTAACAACAACAAAAAGAGTCTAAAGCATTGCTTTATGGACCATTTAGGAAAAGGATAATATTTAGCATACAGCCGTAAATTGATGCTAAACTATGATCAAAACCTGCTCACCAAACAATTAGTGCAATTTCTAAATTGCTGTGATCTGTTTACAAGTAAGTCACAACAAATGCAGAGAGAAACCACTGCTTCACAAATCTAAAGAGTTGTGAATTGGAGGGGACCAGATTGACAAATAAATAAATAAAAATAGAGAATGGGAGAAAAGAGGACAGAGAGGCTTCCCCTGGAAAAGAGGCCCTTCCTAGACATAAGAAAGGGGAAAGATTATTCCTCCTTCCCATTCAACGCTAAACAAATACTTGGACTAGAATAAAGGGAAGAAGGTGGAGGAATTTGACCCTGGGACATATGGGATTTGGGTGAACCACTACCCTAGAGGGCAGCAGAAAGCCAGTGTGGTGTAGTGGTTAAGAGCGGTAGTCTCGTAATCTGGTGAACCGGGTTCGCGTCTCTGCTCCTCCACATGCAGCTGCTGGGTGACCTTGGGCTAGTCACACTTCTCTGAAGTCTCTCAGCCTCACTCACCTCACAGAGTGCTTGTTGTGGGGGAGGAAGGGAAAGGAGAATGTTAGCCGCTTTGAGACTCCTTTGGGTAGTGATAAAGCAGGATATCAAATCCAAACTCTTCTTCATCAGAAAGACAGAGAACAGGCCCACTCAAGCCCAGTTGATCAAGGCAGTTGGCGTGATATGGTTCCAGTCTCCTCACTCAGGCAGAAGGAGGGACAGGAAGGATAAAGATCAGGATAGAGATCTGCTGATCTAGTAAGATTTAAGAAACCCACCAGCTGAACAGATTCCATTGAGCGTTTGGACCCTCCAGTGCAGGCATAGGCAAACTTGGCCCTCCAGATGTTTTGGGACTACAACTCCCATCTTCCCTGTCCACTGGTCCTGTTATCTAGGGATGATGGGAGTTGTAGTCCCTAAACATCTGGAGGACTGAGTTTGCCTGTGCCTGCTCCAGTGACTAGAAAAGAACTGCCATGGTACACCTCCATCAGCATGACTAGACACCTTTATCTGCCCCAGCTGCAACAAAACTGTCTCTCCTGTATCTCTCTCTACAGCCACAGCAGGCACTTCAACTTTCAAATGGTTAGACTTCAGCCCAAAAGGTCTACTCTTTCATGGTGTCCTGACACAGATAGATGCCAACCACAAGGTGGTGATACAAGAACTAGGAGACAATATAATCTTCCACATTGACCAAAAAGCTTTCCAGGGGGAAAAGGAATGAGATATGGGGACACACAAATGAACCATTTCCTTCCCTAGATTAATCTGTTCCAGATAGTTATATACACTACACTGAAGTGCAAAGGGAAAAAACTCTGGTACATTATATTTTAAAGAATCAACAATGTTGTGGGAAAAAATAATGAATACAAAGAATAATGAAATACAGGTGCATACACACATAACTTTATTTGTATGTCACCTTTCCACAGTTCAAACCATGCTCAAGGAGGCTTACAACATGAAAAAATGCATCCTTACAAAAGTAGTTGTAAACAATAAATAAAGCATTTAAAAATGCATAACCAAATGCAACAATTTCCACATAAATCACAGGATAGAGAAAACAAACAGCAACAACAGCAACCCCCCCCCCCAAAGCCAGAAAACCCAAACAACACCCCAGGCCAAGAATCTGTTCAACAGCCTTAGCTTTTGTAGTTGGAGTCAGTCTGGGCCCAGTCCTCCCAGGCCAGGTGGACAAAAGCCCACAAGGCAGGGAGCAGGACTCACAGCCAAGATAGCAATAGCCAAAGTAAATATTAATACAGGTTTTGAATTATCCAAGGGACAATTGCTAGATCAAGGTATACCCAGTTCAGCATTTTAATCTGCATTATTTTATGTTTATTAATATGCTGCTTTCAAAAATAGAAGATACTTCCCAAAGAGGCTCATAAAAACATTTCTCCACTGTCCAATGGGCAGCTTCCAAGTTGAAAAACATCTTCATGTATGTGACAAAGGCTGCGAGAGTTCTGGTAGCACAAGGATGGAAGACTGAAGAAATCCCAACTAAAGAATCATGGCAAGAAAAACTGATGGACTATACAGAACTGGCAAAACTGACATATAAGCTACGGGACAAGGATAACTGTGACTTTAAGGATGAATGGGAACCTTTTACAAAGTATCTGAAGATGCAACAAAGCGAACTGGACTCCTTGGCAGGTTTTGAATAAACATTCACAATATTTTTTTTACTGATAATAATCAGCTAAACAGTTTGAGGATCTATACGACATTGTAACGTGCAGAAAACAACATTATTAGAGAAACCAAAGACTGGAACTGAGGGAAGTTGGGGGGGTGGGGGTGGGGGGTTCTGTGTGGGAGGTGGGGAGGTGGGAGGGAGGAAAAATGGGGGGGGGAATAAGGATGATATGTTTTTGGATAATATGTCTTGTTATAATTTTGAATAATAATAAAAAAATGTATCAAAATTCATCTCAGCCCACTTGAATGTCCAATAACATTAAGCAATTCTGCCCAGCTATAAGCAGGTTTCTTTTTTAAAAAAATGGAATGGGTCTTGTTTCCTGAAACTAAAAAGTTACATCATTTACACACACAAAGCACACATACACTCACCCATTCATTCCTGATCCTCTCACGTTTCCTTCAACCTTCCAGTCGCCACACTTAAGGATCTGCGCAAGTCAACAAAACCAAGAAAACTCATTTTCTTGCCCTCCTTCTGCATCCCACCCCTCATGACAGAAAGTCACACAGGAATCGTACCTAAAACAAACCCCAAACCAACTGACAGAACTAACTGGCAGCTGTATATGTGCTCAGGGGGGAAAGATTAGAAGCAAGGTTTAGGATGTCTGCAGTTAAAATTCAGTTCACTCTGGCAGCCAGGGTGTGCTCCAAAAATACACAATGTCAAAACACAAGCAGTTACAAAGAACAACAAAAACAACTCGGGAACTGTAGCTTGTAAGAGTGCTGGGATCTGTGAACTAAAGTTCCCAGGATCCTTTGGGGTGAGGTCATGTACTTTAAACGTATGGTGTGTCTATCAGCTCTCCGAAGTCAAGGGACATGTTTTGGGGTCCATTTCAGTATCTGGAACCAAGGCAAAGAATGAGATGTGGGTAGATTAGATTGGAGGGACTCTTAAGGGTATGTGGTTGAGATAAACTAACATCATGACCTGGCAGGAGAGATGTTATGCTAGATTAGGAGACCCTGGCGGTCCAGATCTGCCCTGTGGGTCGCAGGTTCTACACTATGGTTTTATTTTATTCCCACGTCTAATTGAGTATTTATGTGTGTGTTACTGTTAGTGTGCTAAACTCTGTGAATTTCCCAGCAGTACTCTGAGTTTGCAGTGGGAAATAGCATAATAATTCTGATATTTACCAGAAAATTGCAAGAACAGATAAATGCCTTTTCCCCAGTTACCAAATGCCTTAATACTTTTCATGATTTACAAACTGTAATAGCAGTTAATAAGGAAAGTTGGAACAATGAACCACTTGTAAAAGTAAGAAGAATATTAACGTTTCAGAAGAGTAATGTATTCTACTTCAATTTGTCCTTCAACTACGGTAAATTTTTGAGTTTCAAAACCGCTAGCGATTTCTGTTGTAGCTGCTGTCCGTCACTAGTAAAAGGAAATCAACAGGTCAGGTTGAGCCCGAATAAGAGAAAGAGAGAGTGACTGTGCTGACTTTCAGTTTATTTAGCTTGTCTGTTTGCTAAAGAGACTAACATGTGGGAAGGTTTGCTTGGAGCCCAAAGCCCACTTAAATGGTTGACATGGGTTTTTTCCTTGGAAAGAGTAATTGTTTGCTTGAATACATGTGACAGAAGAAAATGGTTTCCTAAGGACACAAATTGTGATGGAGAAAGCTTCCTGGAAATATATTACAAGTAAAAAGAGATCTTATTAGATTTAATCATTGGCAGAAAAATTAACAATAGGTTCTCCCTCTACACAAATAATAATGCTGGACCCAACAATCCTATGCATTCAGTGGGGTTAATAATAATAATAATAATAATAATAATAATAATAATAATAATAATAAATTATTTATACCCCGCCCATCTGGCTGGGTTTCCCCAGCCACTCTGGGTGGCTTCCAACAGAATATTAAAATACAAAAACCTATTAACCATTAAAAGCTTCCCTGAACAGGGCTGCCTTCAGATGTCTTCTAAAAGTCTGGTAGTTGTTTTTCTCTTTGACATCTGGTGGGAGGGCGTTCCACAGGGTGGGTGCCACTACTGAGAAGGCCCTCTGCCTGGTTCCCTGTAACTTGGCTTCTTTCAGCAAGGGAACCGCCAGAAGGCCCTCGGCACTGGACCTCAGTGTCTGGGCAGAACAACAGGGGTGGAGACGCCCCTTCAGGTACACTGGACTGAGGCCGTTTAGGGCTTTAAAGGTCAACACCACCACTTTGAATTGTGCTCGGAAATGTACTGGGAGCCAGTGTAGGTCTTTCAAAACTGGTGTTATATGGTCTCGGCGGCTGCTCCCAGTCACCAGTCTAGCTGCCGCATTCTGGATTAGTTGTAGTTTCTGGATCACCTTCAAAGGTAGCCCCACATAGAGTGCATTGCAGTAGTCCAAGCGAAAGATAACTAGAGCATGCACCACTCTGGCGAGACAGTCTGCGGGCAGGAAGGGTCTCAGCCTGCGTACCAGATGGAGCTGGTAGACAGCTGCCCTGGACACAAAGTTGACCTGAGCCTCCATGGACAGCTGTGAGTCCAGAATGACTCCCAGGCTGCACACCTGGTCCTTCAAGGGCACAGTTGCCCCATTCAGGACCAGGGAGTCCTCCACACCCAACCGCCTCCTGTCCTCCAAAAACAGTACTTCTGTCTTGTCAGGATTCAACCTCAATCTGTACTTTCCACAAATTCTTGGATTTAATCTTGGTATTGAATACATAGGGTAGGTTCTGGCAAGAACAGTCAGAGCACAAATTAAATCAAGAGGAAGGGAGAGAATAAGCAAGAAAGGGATAAAATGTATTTGTTCTTTAGCTGTAGTTTGCTGGCAATGGAAGTGGGGTTAGTGCTTAATTCATAAGGTAGGTAGGTTCTGGATTTTTTAAATCTGTGTGAAGAACTGTCACTCAGCAAGTTCTGCTTCTGAATTATAAGTGCAGTGATTGCTCAGCAGTGAGGAAAAAGCACCCTGCAATATACTCACAAGTACTTCTTATTATTTCTACTTAAGAAGTCTGAATTCATTGGCTTATCTTGAGCTAGCTAGTCATTCCTTGTTGAGCCTTGGCTTCCTCAGCTATAGAACCTTCTGAATAGTACAAATGTAATTATAATATAATATAATATAATATAATATAATATAATATAATATAAATTTGTGGATTATATGTTCCACTCGCTGGATCATCACCTTGTCGTGGTGAGTGGGCTTGCATGTTCCTATGACCCTTGTGAGCGAAGCCATCGGGAATCTCATACTCCCAGCAGGATCACCCAAGGCGGTAAGGTCAAAGGGAAGGAGCTAGACAAAGAATGATCCAAGAAGTCTTCAATGGCAGAACAGGCGGATGATAGCAAGCAGTATGTCCCCACTGTGGAAGGACGTGTGGATCCAGAATTGGCCTCCACAGTCATTTACAAACTCACTGTTAAAACCATGTCTATGGAAGACAATCTTACTTGGCTACGAGTGATCGACAAAGAAAGAAGAATCCTGTCATCTGCCAGCATTAACCTTTAATTTCTAATTTTCTACTTCTGGTACATTAGAGTCTGCTTTGTGTTGGCCCCATGGTTCTCCTGATAGCTATGCAACTGGGTTGCTTCATTCTACCCTTAGCTTCATCCACTCATTTGCAGGAGTTTTCATCCCTGCTTTCATCTGAGAAATGTCAGAAGGTATAGGGAGGGCTTTGTATAATGGAAATGGCATATTGCAGCGCGCGCCAACTGCATTAATTGCACCCTTTTGCATGTTATCCTCCTTACTGAATGCTGATTGTGTCGCTGAAAAAATCTTTAAAACGAAACAACAGCTCTGCATTATGCTGATGCAGCACAGTGTGTCAGCGATAGGAGAGGGAATGGAAACATTGCATAAGATCTATAAGGAGAACTATTACACATCCTGCTCTTTGAACACAAAAGAGGCAAAAAAAGTTCCGTAAGACGTACAGTTGTTATAACATCAATACGTGAGTCACTTTATAGAGCAGCAAAATAATATATAGGTTTCAGCCTCAAGGAATCCAGATTTGAACTAGGAAAAGGGGAAGGGGGAAGGGTGATAAGAGATAAATGCAAGCGATAAGAAATAAATTGCTGGGTTTCTTGCCAGTTGCAGATGATAAGTAAAGCTGCAACCCTAGTCCCATTTATTTGGATGTAAATTCATTAAATGCAGTAAGACTTGCTTCTGATTAAATGTGGTTAGGATTGCAGCCTAAACAATTAAACGAAGGGCTTCATGGTTTTTGATGTTGAGGAAAAAATGAGGAGCAACATCATATAGGTGTTCTGGGAGACACTCTCACACACAAACACATACACACACACCACATTGATATTAGACATTTACATTTCCAGCTCATTGCAAACCAAGCACTATAACAAAGTATCGAGAATAGCTATCACAGCAAATTTGCTCCAGCACTACCATTTCTGGTTTGTACATATTGATTTAGAGTGCATGAAAGGCGAACTACATCAAATGATACGCGAGGAATAAATTATTCATTATAAAAATTTGACAAACATGTGTAAAAATAAATAATGCATGGCAATTTATGGCAACACAGTTGAACTTAATTTATTCAAAAACTTGACTCTATAATCTTGCATGAATTTTAATATGCCCTTCTATGCCTTTGTATCATATGGAACAAAGTGACTGCGAATCTTACATCTTCTGGAAAATAAGCATTGAACTTACTTTGAGCCTCTCCTGTTCGTTAGTGCTATGATACTGAAATCTGGCAATCAATGACCTAAAAAAAAAGATAGAAAAGTAAAAGCACTTGGACATGAGATTTTAAGAACACTTCCCTGAGTATCCCATGAAATGATTACCCAATATAATTTGCTGCAATAATATTTTTGTATGACCATAACACCCTATATAGCTAAGGCTCATCACATTTTAGAAAAATCCTTCTTTCTACCCCATTCTGCATAATCGCAGAGATCCACTGAGGACATTATCTTACTCATCCTATACAGGTGAAACTCAGAAAATTAGAATATCGTGGAAAAGTTCATTTATTTCAGTAATTCAACTTAAAAGGTGAGACTAATATATGAGATAGACTCATGACATGCAAAGCGAGATATGTCAAGCCTTTATTTCTTATAATTGTGATGATCATGGCGTACAGCTGATGAAAACCTCAAATTAACAATCTCAGAAAATTAGAATATTAAATGAAACCAGCAAAACAAGGATTGCAAATAGACCAATATTGGACCTCTGAGAAGTAGAAGCATGCATATGTACTCCGTGCTTGGTTTGGGCCCCTTTTGCATCAATTACTGCCTCAATGCGGCGTGGCATGGATGCTATCAGCCTGTGGCACTGCTGAGGTGCTATGGAAGACCAGCTTGCTTCAATAGCAGCCTTCAGCTCTTCTACATTGCTCGGTCTCATGTCTCTCATCTGTCTCTTGGCAATGCCGCATAGATTCTCTATGGGGTTCAGGTCAGGCAAGTTTGCTGGCCAATCAAGCACAATAATCCCATGTTCAACTTCTGCATATCCAGCTGGCCCTGCCTACCTACCCCAACTTTCCCTGAACCTTGTACTGAGGTTTCTCCCTTCTTCCAGCCATCTCCCACTAGTAACTGTCTCTTTCTCCTCAGCCACCCTGCCCATTTGTGACATCACAGGAAGTTTGTAGCCCATGGCAACTGCTTAGGGATGCATCTGCACAGCCTCCCATCCTGGTACTGGAAAGGGGAATGTCATGAACGTTACTTAGATGTATTTAGAAATACCTTGATTTAGAAGTAGAAGATGGTTTGCTTAAGCTCTGCTGTCCCCTTCATTGCTGCTTTCGGGGAAGGCCTCATCGGCTTGTGACATCCATGAAAGGCAAACACAGATACGATGAGGGGAATGGTCCTCGTTCAACAGTTATCATCCAGCCACCTCCACTGGCCAGCCTGCCAACCTCTGCTGGCTTCCACCCATGAATATCCAGTGGTTCATTCACCCAGAGCCTGAAGGGCAGCCTACACCACTATCTGAACATGCAGTTCCCAGGCCTACCGTGTCTGGTGGGTGACCTATGTCCACACTCTCCATTGATACTTACCCCAGCATCAACCCACAAATATCCACACAGCTTTTGTCAATGGCCTTCTGAAGGTGAATTTCAACCAGCTTACGTGCACAAACTCCTTCATCCAGGGCTTCCACATGTTAATCACAGCTTCTGCCAGGTGCATTGCCAGCTTCCAACCATGGATATCTGCCACTTTCAAGCCACAGTCCTGCTCAGCAGGTACACTTGCCTTCTCATTGCTCTACAGCATCTCATTGACAGATGATGGCCTCCTTCCATTTGCCACTTCACCTCCATGCGGAAGGAGATCACCAAGTACTGAATAACAGAACTGTTGTCCACTGTGTCCTTTTCAAGCTTCCCCTTGGGCTGCTTTTGTATATCCACTGAGCTGTCATGTACTTATGTGACATCACAGGGCGTCCACAGCCAATGACAGCAGCTGGAGAGGCATCATCATCATCACCTCCTCAGGTCTCACAATGGTGAGTGCAGCTCATCAGCCCTTTGCTAATTTGCTATGTACAGCTCACTCCTTATCTGTAATGGCATCAGAGAAAGCCATGCCATAAATCCACCTTCCCATTTTGATTCTCTGGCATCCCATCTGCATAACCTAGCAATTCCAAAATATAGACAGGCTTTTACTCTGGCAAGATTGAATGTATTACCCTTGGCTGCACTTGAGGGACGATTCCAACAGATTCCACACGAAAAACGCTTATGTCCCTGTGAAGAAGGCAGTACAGAATCGGTGGCACATGCCCTTCTGGCTTGCACTCTTTATAAAGACTTGAGGAATGAGATGATCACCCCTCTTTTATTGTCCATTCTGGATCGCCCAACCACTGCCACAGTGTCCTTTCTCTTGGAAGATCAAGATGAGCAGGTGACAGCAAAGGTTGCAAAGTTTTTAGCTGGGGCAATCAGAATAAGATCCACCATTTGGCTCCTGATTCAGGACCCTGAACTGTGTTTTATATAATCAACTTTTTATTTCTGTTCTGTGTATATTGCAATGTTCTTTTGTTGCTTTGGCCTATGGCTGACGCAAATAAAGTTTAATTTGTTCTCTGTTTGACAGAAAGGGTTTCTGGAGACAACTCAAATCAGCTATAACTATGCTTTTCAGAAATATATTAGAACTATATATTAGAGAATAGCTGAGAAGACATATGTTATGGATCACCTGGGCTGCTTCCAACAGAATATTAAAAACATGATAAAGCATCAAACATTAAAAACTTCCCTAAACAGGGCCGTTTTATAAAAGTCAGATAGTTGTTTATTTCCTTGACACCTGATGGGTGTTCCACATGGCGGGTACCACTACCAAGAAGGCCCTCTGCCTGGTTGCCTGCAACCTCACTTCTTGCAGTGAGGGAACCACCAGAGCTGGACCTCAGTGTCCGGGCTGAATGATGGGGGTGGGAGATTCAGGATAGATATGACAGGACTTCTTCACATATAGGCAGGTAAACTATGCAATTTGCTACAATAAAATGGGCTGGTGATTAACCTGTACAGCTTTAAGAGGTAATTAGATAATTTTTTCCCAGTAGTGATGTATGGAAGTGTTAGCTGGACCATCAAGAAGGCTGATCGCCGAAGAATTGATGCTTTTGAATTATGGTGGTGGAGGAGACTCTTGAGAGTCCCATGGACTGCAAGAAGATCAAACCTATCCATTCTGAAGGAAATCAGCCCTGAGTGCTCACTGGAAGGACAGATCGTGAAGCTGAGGCTCCAATACTTTGGCCACCTCATGAGAAGAGAAGACTCCTTGGAGAAGAGAAGATCTCCCTGATGCTGGGAAAGATGGAGGGCACAAGGAGAAGGGGACGACAGAGGACAAGATGGTTGGACAGTGTTCTCAAAGCTACCAGCATGAGTTTGACCAAACTGCAGGAGGCAGTGGAAGACAGGAGTGCCTGGCGTGCTCTGGTCCATGGGGTCACGAAGAGTTGGACACGACTAAACAACTAAACAACAACAGATAAATTCATAAGGGATAGGTTTGCCTCTGTAAACCTGTTTTGGGGGGTCACAAGCAAGAGAGTGCCATTGCATCCATGTCCTGCTTCCAGGCTTCCCTTAGGCTTCTGGGTGGCCGCTTTGAGAACAGGATGGCATTTGAATCCAACATCAGAAATGAACAGAACTGTGTTATAGCTGTGCTGAAGTTAATTTTTTCTTATGCTACTGAAACAGAATTTGGCCATTTCATAATTTCAAATTGAAAGTTGCAGCCATCTCATGAAACAAGAGAGCATGAAACAACTGTTGCCCATAATTTGGACCCTAAGAATTTTTAAGGAGGAGGACATGATCCTGTTCTTATGGATCTCTGAGGGGCTTCATCCATTGCCCCCTCCCCCAACACACATTTAAAGTCATGAGAAGGCACTCTGCCGATTTCGTCAGATAAGATTAAAGCCTAAGCCGGCAGCCGGAATGTATAAGCAGGAGACCTCAGGAAAACATAATAAGATAGCTTGATTTAGAAGCAGGCATTTAATGGTCTGAACACTGCACATAAACATGAATGATTACATGATAATTCACACCCTGTCATGTTTTATTAATTAGATATCGGAAACCATCTGTGCAATGTGCTTTAATGATATGAGGGGAGCGGGGGGGGGGGGAATCACTGTTGCTTTTGCTGCTTAGTAAATGGATCTAACATTTTTGTTGCCTTTAATACATGGAAAATAAGCGCAATCAGCCACCATGAGAAATCCAGTTCAGACTTGGGCTGCACCCCAATGCGCCCCTGAATTTCACAGCCTTGTTCACCATTGGAAACCAGTTGGGGGAATTGGGTGCATCTTGAAATCATCTGCCATTAAGGTTTTACTGGTTTTGATTTTGTAAGCTGTTCTGAGAGCTTCAGCTAAAGAGGGTCTACTAAGTGTCTAAACAAAAGAACTTCTCTGAACTGCTAGCTTCCTTTAGCATGGGGAACTTGTTGCTGAAAGAGACCTGTCCATGGTACTTTGAGCATTCACCCTGCCTGCCTATCTTCAAGGTGCTTGACTGCCCTTAGACCTGAGTGTCTGACAGATATGTTAACTTTTTTTCTCTTTTGTCTATTGGCTTGTTTATCTCCTGAGATAGCCATTTGTAATCCAAATAAATCCTGCTCCATAAAATTTATCACCAGGAAATAAAGTGTACTCACACTGAATTTTAATTGCTTTCATTATTCTTATTGATTAAAATTGCCCTGGATATCTGGAATGAACTGTAAACAACAACCAGGGCTCTTATTTTCATGGCCACTATCAATTATTCTGTTTTAGCAGCCAGATCTTTCAATTGGTCTCTGCTGGCCGCAATCTTTGTGGAAAAGGTTGCAAATTTCTAGAGAAGTATTATTAGCGTGTTAACTCCGTATTATTTTGCAAGTTACCTTTTTTGAATAGTGTGCATCTTTCCCTTCTCATTATCTAACAAGATAAATTATGTATTGATCTTTGTACCATGAAATTGTTTCCTTCCCAACTCATTCATATTTAGATTAGAAAGGTATTGTTGGCCTTGGACACCCTCATTATTAGAAAGAAATGTTTACAGCCGCCTCAGCTGTGACAGCAGATACCTCTGACTATTTCTGTTCTTTAAGATCAGAAGAGATAGTCCAATTGCTTTGACTCTAAAGGCGATTAGAGAATAATGAGAAGAGGAGGAGGAAGAAAACCAGTGGTGTAAATGGCAGTGAAGAGGAAAACTCACTGTAGGAGAAGGAGGTCTATGGAGGGTGTTTTGTCCAATATATGATACAACATTTAATAAAATGAAACATTCTAAGAGTACATGGCTTTTTGGATGTTCAGTGTAAACCATGCTGGCCAGTTGACAAGGAGGGAGGATATTTTAGACAGGTTACAGCAAACCTATCTCAGAGATCAACAAACTCCTTTCCACCATAGCTTTAGAGAGACTAGAGCTCTCCAATAGATAATTACCCGCACTTTACCAAAATATAATTCCTAGAATTCCGTTGGAAGAAACCATGACAGTTAAGCTGGTACAAACTAATACCAGCTTGTAGTGCAAGATATCCCCTCACTCAGGGGTGGTTCATCCTGTTTTGCCACCTGAGGTGAAATGGGAAGGTGAAGCCTCCCTTGCCTTGCCGAAATCTCAACTCACTGGGGTTGCCTGGTGGGAGCTTCCAGCAATATCTTGCAAGGTTTCAATGTGATTGTGGCGATCACACAGGGTCCCCACACATTTCACTGTCTATTGATCCCTGTGCCACCACTTTATTTCTCGCTGCCACCACCCAGGCCCTACCTGGTACAATACTGAATCCAGTCAAGGTTAAATTGGAACATAAACTTTTGTTTATTTATTGCATTTTAACAAGCGTGTGGTTTCATAAACAGTACTGGTCAATTACAAACATGGGGTGCCTATCCAGACCTATAATGTCCACTACCTGCTCTCACTCACTAAACCACCTCTCAGATATTTACTTGTCTTCCTAGCCCCTAACTGTTCCTGACTCAGCTTATTTCTCTACACTAACTCAAACT